CCTTGTGCAGAAAACCACAGGGACTTCTGTGCCCGGCCCAGCTGCCTTCCGAAAATGTTTCTAGTTGCTCTCCTATCAAGCAGCAGGAAGAATCTGCCATTTAGAAAATAGAGTTCTTGCGCAGAAGTCGATATTTCTAGAAGCCAAGGTGCTTCTGGATTCTAAAGGACAATTTAGGAGCAATCAAGAGCACCACTTGACTGGGGAGGGTATATCTCAGTGGTGGAGAGCGTGCTTGGCATGCACAAGGTCCTAGGTTCAATCCTCAGTACCTCCATTAGAAAAATAATAGATGAATAAACAAACAAACAAACAAATAAATAAACCTAATTACCTACCCCCTCCCAAAAAAAAAAAAACAGGATGGTCACTTGATATGTCATAATGGGTTTCCTTGAAAAATGACTTTCGGCAGATTCATAACTATTAAGTCTTTTGTTGATGGTTTTTCCTTGCGAGTCCTTAGGACGCCTGTGGGAGCTGCTGGGGTCTTGCTTGTGTATCAGAGGATTTACAGGCTACGGGTCGCTTGGGAGCACAAGTACGCTAGAAATTAGCCCCTCTTCACCTGAACTTGGTAGTGTGGGGTCTGTTCAAAGTACAGTAATGTAGGCGGGTTGTATCTGTCATACAAGGTTTATCATCTAATCTGCTCACTCTTCATTCAATTCAAGGAACAAAGGTCTAAAAAAATTCATCAGAACAGGCTGCTTGCCTGTGATTTTTGCTGGGAACGGGTGCGTTTTTTCCTCTGGGTCAAGAAGTTTTTCCATTTTCACTGTTCCCTTCTCGTTTTCATCCCTGCCTCTCCTCTGGGTCCCCCATGTGCTGTCGGTCCCCACCATGGGCCAGGTGCTCGCCCGATCGATGGGCTGGCTCAGCGGTGGGCAGACGGTGCTAATGAGGCTCCGCAGCAGCCCCGATGGCTGTGCGGACAGTCCGCTCTGCAGCCCGGATCCCAGCGCCACCCTGCCGCCCTCCTGCCCCACCATGGCCGTTTGGTTTAGGAAAACACAACAGCAGGATAAATATGTCTTCCTGTCCCTCTCAGAGCCAGGAGCAGCATGACTAGCTCCTACAGTGAGTGGAACGTACAAGCCCTTGTTTGTTCTCTTCCTTCAGAAAGACGGCTCTTCCTCAAGGGAGTTTACCAGGTTGACAGCTTTACCCGGATCTAATTCACATACTATACAATTCGCCTATTTAAGTGGACAGGGCAGTGGCTTTTAGTGTATTTAGAGTCATCACAGTCGCTTTCGGCATCCCCAAAAGAAACCCCAGACCCGTCAGCCGTCCCCCTCGCATCTCCCCAGTCCTGGGCACCTGTTAATCTGCTCCCCGTCTTTATGGATTTGCCTGTACGTTTCCAGCAGGTGGAACCCTGTGTGGTCTCCTGCGCCTGGCCACTTCCACTTAGCGTACTCCCCGGGTCCCTCCACACAGCGCGTTTCATCACCTCAGTCCTCCTGTGGCTGAATAGTATCCCGTCGTGTGGTTGGACGTTACTCTCAGAGGCTGTCTTTGCAGATTCACCGCCTCGCTAGAATGTACTTGTCATCCCAGATCAGTACTTGTGGGGTTTTCACAGTCACGTGCAGAGATGTGTGCAGTGAAAACTGTGAGTTGCTCAACACGCAGACACAGCCCCAGCTGAGGCTGAACAGGCCACGCCCTGCCTTCCTGCTTCACTTCCTACTGTAAACACGTGTCCTTTTTTGTGGTGTATTTGGTGCCTCATTTTTCACTTTATGTTTTTGGCTTTTTGTTGGTAATTTGGCTGTTTCAAGGGGCCCCCAGGCAGAGCGCTGAAGTGCTGTCTAGTGTTTCAAAGTGCAAGGAGGCTGCTGTGCACCTTGCAGAGAAAATCTGTGTGTCATAGCAGGCTTCGTACAGGCATGAATAAATACACAGTGCTGAAAACTGGCCGCAGGTTCAATGTTAGTGAATCAACAATATGTATTAAATAAGACATCCTTCAGTGGAAACACACATAAAACAAGGTTATATGTTGACTGGTTGGCAAAAGTGTAGCCAGAACTCACCAGAACCTACACTTGTATCTCCTGTGGGAGCAGTGGTTCGGTGTTAGCGAATTCAGGGTTCACTACAACTTTACTGAACGTCACCCCCGCGAATAATGAGAATCGACTGTAACTGTTTATTCTGGAATCGTTCAAGACTTACAGGGAGTTGTAAGAATAGACGGACTTCCTGTGTACCTTTCATTGAGCGTGTCCCCATCATGATAGCTGACAGAACTCTAGTCATCAAAACTAAGACACTGGCAGTGATACGATGTTCTCAGTTCAGGGACAGATGGGATCTGGGTTTTCCTAGTTGTTACGTACACTCTTGTGAGCACCGGCGTGTACAGGTCTATGAAATTTTATCCCCGTGTGTTGATTTGAGTAATCAACACCACAGTCGAGATGCAGAACTGTCCCATCACCCTAAATAAACAATGATTTCTTTTTCTTAAATTGTGGTAAAATATACATGAATGTAAAGTTGACTAGTTTGACCATTTTTAAAGACTAAAGTCCGGTGGCAGTAAGGATATTCGCATTGTTGGGCAGCTGTCACCACCATCCGTCTCCAGAACTCTTGTCGCTTTCCCCAACTGAAACTGTTCGTGTTAAACGGGATTCTCCATCCCCTCCTCCCTATCTCTGGGAACCGCCCCATCCTACTTTCTGTCTCTATGAACCTGACTTCTCTAGGGACCTCCTAGAAGTGGAATCTTAAAAGATTTTGGGTCTGACTTATTTCTCTGAGCATAGTGTCCTCAAGTTTCATCCATGTTTTAGCAAGTGTCCGGATTTCATTCGTTTTTGTGGCTGAGTAAAATCTCGTGAAAGTGATTTCTTGGTACCTATTTTGTGGGAGGCACTGTCCTCCATTCTACTGGGGAGACACACAATGATCTGAACACCTAAGTAAATTGGATCCTGGGTTTGGGGGACCACCTCATCATTCTTTCAGCTGGAGCTCTATCCCGTGTGCCCTTTTGAGTCCAGTGTTACCTGGTGTCCCTAATCATGACTCTGAGACATGAAAACCTCAAAATGTCTCCTCCGTCATCAGAGCAAGATTTAATTCCACTTACCGTAGATTTACCATTACCGATCATTTTTAAAGGGTTCTTTGGAACCAGTGATTCTTAGAGAATATTTATGGTGACTTTTTCTTCCGTGGGCTGTTTGATTAAAGCAGAATCCACCCAACTTCAGGCAAGACCTTGCATCACAGGAACGAATCTGTCAGCCAAGCCAGGATGCCAGGCAAGGGGTTCATTTCAGCATTTGTCCCATACTTGTACGTTCAGATCATAATTGCCTGGGTGGAGTTGGATGCGGTGTAGAAATGCCAGGAAATGACTGCCCTGGACCATAGAGGCCTCGATTTGTGATTTTCACCATTGTCAACGGGGGTTGGTGTATGAGCCACAGCCTTGTCACCTGTGTCTACCATGATCATGTTCATTGTTAGCCATTTATGATCATGATGTCAGGATGTTTGAAGTCCCTGCCCAGACGGCATCACACCGCTCAGTGGTTGATCTCAATTTACAAGTTTTCTTCATCACTTCTCTCCTGGGAGTTTTCTCTGTGACACATATCTGCCCGCACACTTGCGACCGCCCCACATTTCCACCTGTGTTCAGACTCACTCAGCGTGCTGAGTCCCACCCCCCAGAAAAGCTCCTGAGAGAGGCTTTCCTGGAGGGCTGGCCCTGTACCCACAAGGTTCCCGGTCTCTTGTGCTGCTCAGAACCAGAGTCCCAGCTACTTTAACGTAGAGAAACTGGCGTGTGGGTGCTTTGGGGACCCAGGAATCAGGTTGGGGGGCCACTGAGGGGAGGCAATTAGGTTTGTTTATTTATTTATAATGGAGGTACTGGGGATTGAACCCAGGACCTCATGCACTCTAAGCATGTGCTCTACCACTGAGCTATGCCCTTCCCCTGGACAGATTCCTTTCAGTGCTGCTATATGTCTTGGAGCTGAGCTTTCAAATACGGTTTTCACCCTGAGAAGAAATTAGCCAAGCGGCTTGTCCCAACTAGGCTTGATTTAAATGGTCGGCTTGTCCAACAGGAGGTGAAAAAAAGCATCCTAATTACTGAGAGCTTGGCTTTCTGAGAGCTGCGTCTCGCCACCAGTGGAGAAGGTATCGGTGGCTACAACGCATCCTGACATCGCAAACTCTTAAATTAATCAGCACATGCGTGTGAACAACCCTTCGGAGCCCCTGTCATGTGTTAGGTTGGTTTACAATCACTGTGTAAAATAGGATCAGAGCCTCCCGTCTACCTTAGGGGTCAGATTCGATTAGAGCAATTACCAACAGTGGCGCAGGCAGCTAACATCAGGGACCCCGCGCTCTCTGTGTCTCAGAACCATCCTGACAGTCAGCCTCAGATTAATTACAATCATATGTGTGATGTTGGCACGGGCCGCGCCCAGCACAGAGCCCCCTACTCTGTGATCTTCAAGCTGGTGCAGGGAATGTGAACCCCTCTCTGCTTTTCACCCACCGCTCAGACTAGAGGAGTTGTTGTATTACTGTTATTTTACCAGAGGAGGAAAATACTGTGCAATTTCCCCCCCAAACGGTCACAGTGAAGACCAATTTCCTGCCCTCCGGACCCGCTGCTTCAGCCAATACAGTAAGAGAAGCGGCTTTACATTTCTAGAAGGATCCCCAGGAGGTATAAAAAGGGCAGAGCCCGGCCTCGCACTGAGACCCAGCCGTGACCATGGGGAACGCGCATTCCAAAAGCGGCGGCAGAGACAGCGCGCACCACGGCCGCCCCGACCTCTCGGTCTACGGCTCTTTTCCCAGGAAGTGGAACGAGTCCGTCTTCCTAGATAACGAGCTGTTGACCTCCAAGATCCTGTCGGCGCTGCGGCCTCAGTCGGAGCGGGGCCTCCGGCCGGGCCACCTCCGCTACCCCGCCCACTTCCTCAGCACCAACTCTGTCTTTGCCTCCGTCGCAGCATCCCTGAAGGAGCACCCGAGGGCCACCCTCTTGTCCGATGGCAGCCCGGGCCTGTCCAGGAATGTCGGCATGACGGTCTCGCAGAAGGGGGGTCCGCAGCCTGCACCCAGCCCGGCGGGAACGGGGCCGAGACTCGGGTAAGCCGCCAGGGGCCGGCGACGGGAGGGAGCAGAAGTGGCGTTCCTCCCCGGGGACCCCCGCGGGCAGCCTCTCCGAAAGGAGACCCTCGGGGCCCCCAGCCAGCGGCGAGACTCTCGTTAACACCTGCTCCGGAGGGTCAGTCCTTGTGCTTCTTCACAGCTGGTGTGTCTTGCATGTCCTCGGTCGTCTCGGGCCAGTTTGCTTCATGCTCCTCAGGGACCCCTGGCCAGGGCTCCATTCTGTCCTCCAGACGATGCTAGAAGTCCGCTGGGGTTGCCGTGGGGTTTGCATTTGTGCCGTAACCCGGTTTTCCTAGGATTTTGAGGTGGTTCCATTAATACGGCATTCAGCAGCTTGTAGGTAGAAAACCGCATGTGAAAAAAAGAGAAAAAAGGAAAGTCATTGCTGTGATCCTTGCATGAGTCGGTGGGGAAAGGAGCTGATTTTCTTTTTCTTCTAGAAAAGATTTCCCCTCCATCCCCAACTGGGAGTGGGGCTGTGTCCACCTTACTCTGAAAGAAATCGAGGGGCTCCAGTGGATGCACATAATTAACACACCCTTGGAATATATTTGAACATTAAATTCAAGTTAGTTTTGATGGCAGATCCAGAGAACAAACTAGTGGTTACCAGTGGGGAGGGGGGAGGGGTGCAGGACAAGATGGGGTAGGAGATTAAGAGGTACAAACTACTATGTATAGAATCAGTTAGCAGCAAGGGTATCCTGCATGACATGGAGAGTATATTATAGCCAATAGCCTGTAATAACTATAAAAATAGAATATAACCTTTAAAAATTGTGAATCACTGTGTGGTATACTTGAAGCTTATGTAATCACCTATACCTCAATTTAAAAAAAGAAGTTAGTTTTTATTAACCATTTTTTAATTGAAGTTTAGTCAGTTTACAACGTGGTGTCAATTTCTGGTGTCCAGCATCATGTTTCAGTCATTTGTGTACATACATACGTGCGTTTTCATATTCTTTTCCATTATAGGTCACTATAAGATATTGGTTATAGTTCCCTGTGCTGTACAGTAGAGACTTGCTGTTTACCTGTTTTATATATAGTAGTCAGTATCTGCAAGTCTCCAACTCCCAGTTTATCCCTTCACACCCCCTTTGCCCCCTGGTAGCCATAAGTTTGTTCTCTATGTTGTGGTGATCCGTTTCTGTTTTGCAAATAAGTTCATTTGTGTCAAAAAGAAGTTCGTTTTGATGGGAGAAGTCTTGATGTCACGTTGACAGACAAGTTAAGGCTTACACTTATACCTGGAAAGCTCTCACATCATATCTAATTGGACCGAGCAACAGCCTGATTGTCTCTGTAGAATGTGCATATAGGTCTGTGTGTCGGATTCAGCTTTTGAAAATAATTGGGTTTACGATTTCCGTCTAGACCGGTCACAGGAGAGATGGATGAGTCCGACTCTGTATTTCTGAAACTTAAGCAGGCAGCCGACGACTCGCTATCACTCACGTCTTCGAATGCTGAGGCTATTTTTATAGAAGGTACAGTCACACTGGTTCTGTCCCAGGTGTCCCATAGCCTTCATTCACCAGGAAGTGCTGGGACCCACATCTGTGGGTGCACAGGACGCGGGCTGGGGCTGCCCAGAGCCAGCCAGACCCCGGGCCTGTGAGCAGCGGCCTCTTGCCCTTCCCCCCCAGACCCCTACACTGCCTCACTAAGGAGTGAGATCGAATCAGACGCCCATGAGTTCGAAGCTGAGTCCTGGAGCCTTTCTGTGGACACAGCGTATGCAAAGAAACAGAAACGCGAGGTGGTGAAGAGACAGGATGTGCTTTATGGTAAGTGGTCCCGGGCCGCCGCACCGTCCCAGCGCTGACTTCCTGCCTTTTTCTTCTTCTTTCTCTTCTTTGTTTTCCCTTTCACTCCATCTGGGAGCCTGGGCTGCGTTGCCAGCCCTCCCTGAGGCCGCGTCACCCACTCCACCTGTTCTCCCAGGGCAGCCCTGCCTTCCGGGCGGGGTGGAGGTGGCCGGGGAGCGCTTTGTGAGCGCCGGTCCCCGAGGACGAGGGTGGCCGAATGCCCAGTCCTGACTCGGCCTCACCTTGCTGGTGACCCTGAGGGAGGAGGCTGCCGGGCCCTCCCAGCCGCCCCTGGTGACCGCAGACAAGCCCGGGCGTGGCTGGGCTGGGGGTTTGGGAGGCACGTCCCTCTCTCCCGCCTGTGACTGTAGCACCAGGTCCAGGATGGGCGCCCCTTCCCTCTGGCCGTTGGAGAACCTGGCTGAGGGCGGCTGCTGTCATGAGAGAGGATGTTGCAGTCACTGTGGAAACCACAGCTCCCAGATACCGCCTGTCCCCAGGCCAGGTGCCTCTCTGGATGCCCCACTTGGGTCCCTCCAGGCGCCCCCGCACTGCTCAGTGGTGTCCACTCATCCATGGACACCTGCTTCCTTCCATATTTCACACACTGAGCTCCCTGCGCAGGCCAGAGCTGGTTGGGATATGGGTGGGGAGGAGAGCCCGAGGCCGGCCAGGGGTCCTGCAGGGAGGGCCAGAGGGGACCAGTCCTCTGCTTGCATCCCGGCAGCCCTTGATCACGTTGTCTCCAGTGCTGGGTAAACACAGACTGCTCCCAGCCCTGTGGCTGGTGGCCTGGGGCCTGGCCAGTGCTGTTGACTTGCTTCATCTCTGACAGTTTCAAAGGCTTGAGTTAAATGACAGAAAAACTCCCATCACAAAGGCTGATCTTTCTTTGCCTTTAACAGTGAATTAAAATCCTCACTTGAGCTCCGTTTTTTCCATCACAGTCTGGGGCTGGTCCCTGATATGCACAAACGTGTGAGTTTCCCATCCTAGGGACAGGTGTTCATCAAAATAATTTTCTTGCTTAAAACAGCCTGCAAACGTCCTCAGCTGACTTTAGGCAAGAAACCCTCCTGTGAATTTGAGGTCCCAGTGGACATCCCGGGTCCTCTCTTTCCTGATGTCCCTCCACCCCTTGCTGCCTCCTTAAGCTGGGACCCTGGCAATGCTGGGCCAGGGAGGATGGGAGGCCTGGCCCCTGGGTGGCAAGCCCACCAAGCCAGCCTGGCCCATGACAGGCAGGCAGCACACAGAATGCCATTGCAGGATGAGGGAGAGAAGCCAGAGTGTCCTCCCTCATGGGTAAGTCCTGCTTCCGTGTCCGCACAGAGCTGATGCAGACGGAGGCACACCACGTGCGGACACTCAAGATCATGCTGAAGGTCTACTCCAGGGCCCTGCGGGAGGAGCTGCAGTTCAGCCCCAAGGCCATCGGCCGCCTCTTCCCGGGCGCAGATGACCTGCTCGAGGTGCATGGTCACTTCCTGTCTCGGCTGAAGGAGCGCCGCCAGGAGTCCCTGGAGGAGGGCAGCGACCGGAACTACATCGTCCAGAAAATCGGGGACCTGCTGGTACAGCAGGTGGGCACAGCCGGGCAGCACAGATGTGCCCCCGGCCTATCTCTTTCCTTCCGATAAAAAAAGAACGAGCTGCCCGAGAGGACGGCAGTCCCGGCCCCGTACAGCCGCGCACGCAGCCCACAGGCTAGGAACGCGGAGGCCCAGATAGCAAACACGCTTGTCCAGACACCGCCCGGTGTGGGTTCTGGGCTTTTATTTGTTTGGTTGGCTGGTTTTTATTTTTCGGTCCTGACGGCTGTGTTTTTGGACCAAAGCCATCCGTGGCAGGGGTGTCGACCCCGAGCTGACCTCCGAGTCGACTTCTGTGCCAAGGCCGAGATTGACAGGTGCTCGGAGCGCCCCCAAATCAGCTCGTTAGGATCAATTAGAATAAGACTGCTTTTGCTCTTGAATTTTTCTGACAGTCTTCAGCTTAAATTTATTTTTCCTTCTCAGATTTCAGGAAGTTTTACAGGCACCTGTGATGGATAAAAATTTTCTTCTTTTCCCTCTTTGTCCCTCACGATGGAACAGCCTGTACCAAAGCATTTCTCTGTCAGAACGTGAGCTTGAGAAGTCAAGTCAGTCCGCGTTCTGGCAGAGTCAGGAAAGCCAGAGGGACACGTGCCCTGGCCGTCCCCGGGGTTCAGCCCGGTAACATCTCCACCATCTCTCTTCAGTTTTCAGGTGAAAACGGGGAGAGAATGAAAGAAAAATACGGTGTCTTTTGTAGCGGCCACAACGAAGCTGTCAGTCATTACAAGTTGTTGCTGCAGCAAAACAAGAAATTTCAAAACTTGATCAAGGTAAAAAGGAAACAAAATACAGATTAAAAATGCGTTTTCTTCGCGGTGGGTTTTTTCCTCGCAGAACTGAAGACTTCGGGAGAGCTTGGGATTATAAACGACTTGTTGTGAAGCTCAAGTTTCTGTTTCGTTTTCAACCACGAACTCATTCAGAACATGGCAGTGAAGCCTCCGGGAAATCCCAAGGTGTAAACAAATCAAAGCAAAGCAGACCTAGGGCTTTGTTCCTGCCACTGAGGGTGGCCCCTGAGATGCCCCTCGGTGGATGACCTTCATCCCTTGGGCTGTTGAGGTGACACACATGATTGCAGGGGGCCGCCCCGCCCTGGGAACCGCCCCTCCAGAGCCACATACTCTGCCTTGGGTGCCATGGCAGATGCAAAACCCACCTCAATCTAAGCCTTTGCCCCTCCCTCACCTCCTCCCCATCTGGTCCCCATGTGTCCCCCGCAGCCCATGGAATGAGCAACACCTGTCTCCTGCCCAGCAGTGTGCAGGTGCTCACAGCCCAGAACCTGAGTCAGAGGGTCAGACAAGGCCCCACCTCCCATGTCCCAGGAGGTCCTCCCAAGTCAGGACCCTTGGGCGCTGTCAGCAGCCCCATACAGCCTTACCACCTGTGGCCTGTGCCCTGAGAACTTTACCCTGGAGTGATGTCCAACAGCTGCCGGTCAAGACTTAAGAATGACGGGTTTTTAAACTTCACTCCATTATCCTTGCAGTGGATAGACGTGAGCAGGGGAGCGTCATGTGGGGGCCTGGATTCATCTGGTGATGGGCGGTGGGAGAGGCCACCCGACATCGTGAGCCGGAAGGACCGCGAAGTGGGGGAGGGTCCAAATGAGGCAGAGGGAAATGGAGACAGCCCTCCGTCCCCGGCATCTCACCAGCCCCGGTGACTCCTCTGGTCCTCCTAAGAAGTGGCTCTCTGCGATCGCTGGCACTCCTGACACGCACGGGAGAGCAGTGGGAGCAGGAAAGCCGAATGTGTGATGTGCCCCAGAGAGCACAGGAAGCTGCGCTCGGCCCTGCCAGGGAGTGGCTTCAGTGACCGCATCAGGGGCGCTCAGCCGG